GGGAAGACACCAGCCACAACAAAGCCTCAGTCCTGTACCCAGGAGACCCAGCCCCCCACTAGCAGGCCAGATTCTGCCGGACAACCAGCAGGTCTCGGGCTCTGCCCAATGAGCAGGTCAACACAAGCTTCAAGACTCCCCTAGACTCAGCAACCAAATGTGTCAGGAACAGGATCTAACCAACAGTGACCCAACACATGCTCTAGGACCCCTGAGTCCTGCAACCAGACCCCAGGACCTGGCTGTGTCCTCCAAGTTAGCTGGCACTAGCTCTGGGACCTGGCCTCACCCACCAGTGGGTGATGAACATCCCAGGGTCTTCTGGACCCTTACTCCCCTCACCAGTAACCCAGCACTAAAGTCCCCCAGGGCTCCACAGTCAGCCTCCTGATTACCTGCTCCTAAGCAGCAGATAGTGGCTTCTGCACAAGGCAGGACCTGGCAACCACATGAATCGGCACAGAACCTCTGACTCCAATCTGCTGTTCTTTTCCCACCCCTTTACTCCTCACCTTGACTCCTTTCCTGGGCAGCAGCATATACTCCTGTTCAAACTTGTTCCTTATTTCTAAGTAGAGCTTGTGTCCTCCAGGAGCAAAGAAAGTTCCTTTCAAACAATGTTCAGTCAAGGGCTCTGAAAGCTTCTGAAGCTCAGCCTGACAGTATTTGACAGAGGCCTCTTCATTCTGCACCAAGAAGTCTTCCCTCTTTTTCTGGATGGTGACCTGCCAGGGAAATGTGGGGAAATCCGATAGAAAGAAGCTGTGAGAAGGGAAAGTCCAACTGTGGTCCTTTGGAAGAAGCAGTCTGACAGCATCAGGGTGCAGGAGACGCAGAGTAATAGACATGGAGTCAGGAGACTATTTCTACCCCCAGTTCTGACCAGCTCTCTGTGTGGCTGGTGGGAAGTCTCTGAAACCCTGTGGGCTCAGACTCCACACCTGAGAAATGATGGGGTTGGCAGGGGTGATGTCCATGGTTCCCTTAACAGCAGTAGGACTAACAGTCAGCCATTCACCCACAACAGATGTGAAATTTTCATTATGAATTGAAACTTCTTCTGCAAACTTAGGAGCTATGGATAAAAACATATACTTAGCAAGTCACTTGCCTATTAATGACTTAACTACACACTAACCTGGGTTCAGAACTCCTCATGGATACTTTTTTCACTGAGGATTTGAGTGTGTGAAAATATAAAAAGAGGCTTTTTTGCATATACTGATAAATTACAATTGAGCTGGCTTTGCTCTATGTGAAGTAAGATTTTTTAATTTGAAGGTTGGTCAACGGTCAAACGTTCAGTAAAGGTGCCTATGGCAAGGAGAATTGTGATCTCCAAGAGTTGTCCCCACTGCTGTCCGCACTCTGCAGAGTCCCCAGATTGTGACTATGATGAATATTGATCCCGTGTTTGAGTTATGTTACACGGCACAGGTGACTCCTGAAATGGAGATTACCCGAGTGGACGTTACCTAATCACACCCTTTCAAAAGTGTTTTCTCCTGTTGGTAGCAGAAGAGGAAGTCAGAGTGATCAGAAAAGAGATGGCTGCAATGCACCATGGCTGGGTCGAAGGCGGAGTGCTGTTCCCCGCAGCCTCCATGTGAGGACCAAGCCCATGTGAACCTCGTCTCCAGCCACAGTGCACTGAGAAGACCACCCACGTGCCCGGGGCTGGGAGCTGACCTGACGGAACGGAAGCCACTCAATGTGTGTTGGTTACGCTGCTAAGCAGAGGGTAATTCATGATTCACAGTCCAAAATAAAAAGCCCAACTTTTAGGAAAAAGATGGACTGTAGCCCACAGAGGCTTGTCAGTCATAAGAATCTAAACTCTTTTAGATTTATGATGAGTAGCCCATGAGCCATGGGGACAAAGAGGGGGTCTGGGATCATTCCAGAAGAACAGACTCAGGAAGGAGACCTGCTAAGGCACGTTACCAAAAGCTTCATCTGGAACTCCCGCTTGTCATCCTTGAAGGAGTGCTCCATGAAGACTGCGATGGCTTCCCTCTCGCAGGCCGTGTGCACCTCCAGCAGCCCCTGCAGCGTGTCCG